GCCCAGCACATAATGATTATTTAGCAATAGCTACTGTGTAACATTTAACTAGGAAACCTGAGCTGACACTGACAATCTCTCTGGCAGTGTAGTCTGCTCACCATTTAGTAGTTGAGTAATCTGTGAACTACTGTAAGAATTTCATTTGTGGTTCGATATGTTCTAATGGAAATACAGATGACAATAGTCCCTCCGCTTTAGCGTTTGTAATGTGAACAGCTATCATAGTGTGACTCCTAATGTTCAGAGTTAATGAGTCAGTTCTCTTCCAGACACAGAAGGCTATCTGCAAATCGCTCAATTTTTGTAAAGGAGAATAATTGGGAAGAGTTTTTACTTCCCTTCTCATTTCTGAGGCTGCAGAACACAGTTGCAAAATGCTGTCAATGTTTATTCTCTGCACATGAGGACTGCACTCAGTGGGGGAGAAAACAGAGTTCTTAATATTGGCTTGATCAGACTGACCTTCCAATTGTGAAAAGCATTTTTAGTTTGAATCAGAGTACTGAGGATGGTGGTGTGTTCTGTTCTGCCTCATCCTCCCTGACAGTTTTGCTTCTTTTAGACTGTTTGCTCATGCTGGTGTACAAGGATAAATCTGAACGAGCAAAAGGGCATAAGGAGAGGAGCAGCGTGACCTTAGAAGACATCTGTGGCTTGGATCCTGGGCTCTCCTATGAGGGCTTGAATCATACGCTTGCAATCATCTGCCTCTCTCAAGTTGTGATGCTTGGATTTGAGAACAAGGAAACAATGTATGCGTGGGATGTACGAATCCGCTACAGTTTGGGGGAAGGTAACCTTTGCCTTGTCATATTCCTTTTTTCTTCCTTTTTTTTTTCTTTGCAAGCAAAGAAAACAAAATCAGAGCTAAAATGCAAATAACGAAGTACAGCTAAGGAAAAGATTGCCACACGTTTGATGATGATGAGTCTGTTCTTTCCTATGTCTTAAAGCAGGTATCAAGATAATTTTGTGTGTTACTCTTCAGTACTGATAGCTAACTGAGAGCTTTCAACTTAGCTTTTGATTTGGGCAGTGGAAGCTTTTAATGATCCAAGCTCCACTTCTCTCCCTGCAATTTACTTGGGGTTTTGATGACAGGATTTAGAAGGAGCCTGACTTAAGAAAACTGATCTAAATAGAACTTGGCTGGTCAGATGCCAGTTTTATGAACATCCTACTAACCTACAAGGTATTCTGACTAAAATATGTCACTGCTAGTGTCTTCATTCAGCATGGAGCATCTTATGATTGCGAGTGTTATTGGACATAGTCTTCTCTTATGCTTTTTTTCCCCTTTTCTGGTCAGCAGCTCTTAAACATGTAGTTGTGAATAAGGAGTGGTAAATGGTTAATCTAGAGCAAGCTGTTCTTTAGGTTTATTTGGTGATGACTAGGGGAAGAGGATGGATGTGWGAGATGCACATTCTGTCTTCAACAATCACTTGCTAAAACATATGGCAAGGGATCTGTAACAAATAAATTGTTCCATGGCAATGTGAGCATAGGTGAGAAGGGTGAMCTTTGAATTTTGCACAAATGTGATATAGCTCCTGAGCTCATATCTAGGTAGCATTAGTAGGATAGAGACATGTGGATGTACAACTTGGATCCATCGAATACAAACTGTTGCACAAGGGGAATGGCTAGAGTGGCTCCCTGACCAATACAGGTGAATATATCTGGAGTATGTGGTGCACTTGGAATGAGAAAACAATATAGCTACATTTTCAATTAGCTTGTTAAATTTGGGATGTCCATGCAGCATAAATTTGTACTAAAAGAGTTGGAGGAGAATGTGCAGTTGATAGAATAGTTTTTTTTATGTGTGTGATCTTGCATTGGTGCAATCCAGGCAGAGAGTTTTTGATTTAAATCTGCATACAAGAGTGATGGAGGTTATTAGTGATGGTGAAGCAGAGGAAGGAGATTTATTAAAGAAAGCTTTGGGTGAGACAGAGTTTGGCCTATTGGATGGAGCTGTAGTTCCAGATGCAGCGCTGGAGTAGAAACGGAAGATGAGAGCTTGTGTGGAGGTGAAGTCTGATACGGATATGTTCTTGCTCTGGGAATAGGGTGAATGGGTACTGAAAACAGACTCTGGAGAGATAACCTCAGAGTTTGAGAAATGAGATTAAAAAGGTTTTGGGAAGGAGGATCTAGACAGGAAAGAGAAAAAAAGTTTTACTGAATTTTGGCTGTGAAAGTGTGACGAGACAGGGAAAATGGAGAAGACAATGCCATATGTGCTGGTGAACTGGAGGTTATAAGGCTGGAATGCTAATTTGGAATGAAGTTGATGCTCTGTTTGAGCAAGAATTGCAGAAGTGAGTGAGGTGACTCTCAGGTATGAGAGAGTGCTTGAGCCCACAGCTGATGCTGAGAAACCTGGGGACAGGACAGCTCTGAAGAGGAAAAGGTTAGCTACAGCAAATGAAGAGCTTGGAACTTTTTCCTCATGCATCCTTTCAGCTAAGCAGCTGTTTGTGGTTTGGTGTTTGATTTTATTTATTTTTTTCTCTCTGCTCTGGAGTTGATCAGATTTGGGCCTTATATTTCTCTGTGGTGCTCTAGAACTAGAACCTGAGCTGCAGTTCTTCGTTTTCGTCAGATGCAGCTTGCAGCAGGCTTTTTCAGTACGTCCCACTCCTCATTTATGTGAGGCAGGAAAAATCCCAATGCTTCTATTCCTATAGTTTTATTACTAGCAAAGTAACTCTGAAGTTAACTGCTCAGTTGTGCCTCTTTTTTGGGTGGTTTTGACACCTTTTTCGTAGTTTGTAGGTAAAACAGCTTGTGTTGCATAGTTGATACCCAGAAGAGGACATCAGGTGACTCTTGACTTGCTCCCTAGCAGTACTAATGGCAAAGCTGTAAGTAGAGCTGTGGTTAGATCTATCTCGGGCTCCTTAAACATTTCTCTTGAATGACTTTGTGGCTAATTCGGCTGGAGCCGYAGGGGACTTACCAAATGCATGTCATACATGAGCAGTTAACTAACTGCTAGTTGGTAACTAAGAATAAAGGTAGTATTTAAATGAGAAGCCTACTTGAAACTCATGATGCTTGAAGGAAYAAGAAGGAGGCAGAAGGGTTCTAAGAAATGACATTACTTGAAGGTTACCCTTTAGATCTTGTAGGCAAGAAGCTGTTTGTAAGGTCTTTAATGGATAATGAGAAAATTAGATTATGCACCTGATTAAATGCCCCACTGAAAACCTTTGACTGGAAATGTAACTGTCCTGACACTATCCCAGGTTAAGATAGACTATTTGTCTAACCATAAAGCAAAACCTTGGAGGAATAGTAGAGGTCAGGATAGATTTAAGGTTAGAGGCTTGCTCACTTACATTGTTCTTTTGAACTGCTTGAAGATTTGAGCCTTTGAATTGTTTCATGCAGCAGCCCTGAAGGAGGACATGGGAGGCTAGCCTAGAGCAGCCCATGTTCTAGGTAAGAATGCTTGCAATATAGGAGATARGAGAGTTAGAATATGAACTTGAATCTTGTAAACTCAAATGGAAAGATGTTTTTTGCTCTCGCTCTTCTGAAGTTTGGATTGTGAAATATGAAGAGTTAATAAACATTCTTAAATGTCAGTTGCCTATGAATCATCTAATTTCCCAGTCATTTTAAATGTCTGGGCATCTATAGTCACCAGCTCCCCAAAGATTCACATAGGTAGGAAAACATAATTTTCCCCAGTTTTACTGCTAGGGAAGACAATATATGGGAAGGAGTGAAACAATTTATTAAAGGTTGCAAATGAGTCAGTGATGGGGCRCTGGTTAGAGCCTGCCTCTTTCTTTCAGCCTTGCCTTTTGGGCTCCTTGGATGCTGCTAAATGTACATGGATATAAGAAGAAAAACAGGCTGTTGAGAGGAATAAATAGAATCATTTGTAGTGATGTGAAGGGTAGGAGGAGGGTATGACTTAAGGATGGGCTGGATAACGGGCTAATTTGAAATAGGGGGTAGCCTGGAAGGCTTTGGATAAGTAACATCAATTGTAGCATTAAGGCAAGATGATTTCTTTTCAATACTAAATTGGCCTAACAAAGTAATGAGCTTGTAGCTATTGACCGACTTGTCTGGACTTTACCTAAAATCTTGATGTTAGAACCTAGTGGTGTGGACACAGACTATCTTTGAAAAAAATGATTTATGTTACAGAAGCCATGGTACATTACTTCTGTTTTCTGAGGTAACTTTTTTTTCCTTCCTTATTTAATAGTTCATAGGTTTCAAGTTTTTGTAGCACCTGGTACTAAACTAGAGAGTGGGCCTGCTACGCTGCATTTCTGCAACGACATTTTCGTCCTTGTAAAAGACCTTCCTCCTAGCGTCATGGGGCAGTGGAAGCTCTCGGATCTGCGGCGATACGGAGCTGTCCCAAATGGATTCATCTTTGAAGGGGGTACCAGATGTGGCTTCTGTAAGTACAATTGGAAATTATCTCCTAAAAGTTATTTTAAACCTTTTGTAAAAATGTAATTACCAGTTCTGTCAACTCTGAGTTTTGAGAAACAACTGTGTAGCTTTCAGTCTTTGTAAAAGCAGCCTTGTGATATCAGAGAGTGACTCTCCAGAAGTTGTTGAGTCAACTGCTACTGCTGGACACAGAACAAGAAAAAGATGATGAAACGTTAGGGGCTGGTTATTAGAACAGAAAGTTGATGGTGTGATTAGCTTGATACTTACCTATTTTTGAATTATGCCCACTAAAGTTTTGGCCTCAGAAGCAGAGTTTGGAGCCACTCCAGACTGATGATCTGTGACTGCAAATGGATCTGTGTTTCTCCAATTCAGATGTGAAGCCATTWGGCTTGTGTAGTGAAGTGTGAAAATAATAGACTTTTTTTTCCTCTGCCAAACCAAAAAGTTGTTGCAAATCCAAAGATGATGTTTTCCCCTTTCTTCCCAATTTTTGCCAGAAGTCCTGAGGAATATATTATTTTGATTCATTTCCTATAGTGAGGTTTTTTATTTGTTTTGCCTGTTGAAAAGAACAGAGGTGAGTTATAAATATGGCAAGCGTTGACCGTACTCTGTTTTGCCCTAGAGGTTCCCGGTTTAGGATGCTTGTTTATTATGTGAAAGTTTCTGATTCACATTCTTCTGTGACTAGTTTGGAGATTGTGGTTGAAGTGTTGTCTCCAGCCTCTGAATTATAGGTGTAGCCTGGGAAGCGACAAATCACTTTTCTTTTAAGGTTATTCTGCTTCACTGAAATATTAAGCTGTGTAGGAACTGAACTCCAGTGTTTTGTTTCCTGGTATTGTGTTTAGACCGTGTGCTGACTAAATGTTTGTAGCGTTTAAGGGGAAGTCAGAAGCATCATCCCTCTCGGTTGGACCTGGTTAAATTTCTGTAGGTCCATGAACACCTGTAATTTAAGCAATTTATTTTCTATACAGCATAGAATAGTTTTTTTGCCTCTGTGGGCAAACATCTGTTTAAATACAAACTAGAATTCTGTGAGTGTATTTCTGTGCAAATGTAATTTGGGTCCAAAATATACCCCAGAAAATTTACGTTTTGAATAACAACCTCCACAAAGTCCCCGATTCCCATTCCCTTGTAAGCATTCTTGAGTTCTTTTTTTTTCTTTTTTTTCCAAAGCTGCTGCTTTTCCTGAGCACTTTATGTAGAGCTTCATTTTCTGAGCTAATGAAATCTTAAGTTATTTAAATATTTACAACTTGTATTTAAAAAAAATAGAGGGAGAACTGAAATAGAGGTGCTAGCAGCCGTTAAATAACTTTGGCCGTGTTTAGGTAGATTGATAACTGTTTTAATCTSTGTAAACATGCGGCTCATCAAATGAGAGAATATAAAATTTATTTCTGTGATYAGTTGTCCCTAGATAGCTTCAGGACGACTAATGTGCTGGATAAAAGTACAAGAGCCTTGTGATATTTTGGCATTAGTTTTTGCTATTACTCTCCAAAAGTTGTCTCTGGAGAGGAGTTTATCTTATTGCCATTAAGAACTTTAAATAATGACTTGAATTTGGAGTACAGAGCTTATTGCAAATGATGCCTGTGGATCACAATGGTTTGGTTTATGCAGACTTTCAYTGGAATGAGGAAGGAGATAGCATATTCTGAGCAATATCCAAAAATTAAAATGACTAGCAGAAAATAATGACGGCCGTTAGGATTTTTCTGCTGGAAAGGAAACAATTGGGTCTCTTTTGTGCCTTTTCCACAGGGACTGCTCAGCACTGACTAACAAAGCTTTTGCAGCACTGACTGCATTTCTTATGTGTGTTACCCTTTTGGAGAGGGATGCTGCGATAGGATACGCAGTGCAGAGATWTAGGACTACTTACTGTACATGTTTTCATATTAAGGAGATGAATGGATATGTTTCCAATTTCAGCTTTCCTTCTTGAAAGCACAGAAGTAGGGGGTAGCTGCAGATCAAAATGAAATGCACTGACTTGTTTATCTCCTCCCTCATGTAGAAAGTTCATTCCTTACTGGCTGCTTCAACCAAGGCATCTGGAAAGTGTCTTGATAAGTACTAGGCAGGATCATTTGTGGTAGCGATCTTGCAGCTAACCACTAATTGTCTACTGTGGTGTTCACTGTTTTAGTTTTACCACCTTGATGTGTAACATGGCTGCAGAGAGATACTTAGTGTGAGGCTGACTTACCAAGCCTGGTGCTGCTGGGAAGGATGGATGAGTAAAGAAGTGTCTCCAGTATTTAATAATGCACTTAGCCCTTACACAAATAAACACGGTAGCTTATTTTCAAAGGTTAGTGTTGCTTCAGTAGAGAAAGCTTGCTATAGCAACTCCTTYGTGTTATAACAGTATTGATCAGTGCTGTTTGTTATGCAGCTTTGTAGAATACTAATTACTAAGCATCTATTGTGCAGTAAGCAGCTAATTGTTTTAGAATGAGATCAGAGAGGAACTTGTARTTTGGATGGTGCGATCTGAAAAGCACACAAGGAGTGAGGTTAGAAGGGAGATTGTCAAATCCAGCTTCACAGGCAGTGGACAACTACCATAGCTTGCCCAGGGTTTGAATATCTCCAAGGATGGGGACTCCTGAGGCTCTCTGTGCAACCTGTTCCAGTTTCAATGAATTTTTTTATTTCAACTTGTGTCTGTTGCCTCATGGACTAAAAAGAATCCATCTCCTTTGCCTCCTCCTGTCAGGTATTTATATATGTTGATAAGTTTCCCTCCCATGCCTTCCTCTTTTTCCATGCTGAACAATTTCAGCTGCTCCAAGTCCTTGATGAACTTAGTGGCCCTTTGCTGAACTCACTGCAGTTATGTCCATGCCTCTCTTGTTCTGTGGAGACCAGTACTGGGCACAACACTTCTGAGAGATGTGTGACAGTGCCCTCATCTTCTCAGCTTCAAGTGTTTGTGTCCCTCCTGCCGAGGTGTGGTTGGTACCTAGAGAAACAACAGCTCAGCCTCAGTGGAARGGCTGGAATTTGTCTTGTTATGTAACCAGGAATGCAGATGTCACTGGCATTAGAGAAGGATGGAGTGCAACTCTAGCCTTGTGATTAGGAGCCCAGCTCTGGGGTACAGACCCTCGGTTCTGGGCACTGTTTGCAAGAATCGTTGCCTTGTTGTATAACAAGATTTGGAAATAAAACGAACTGTTTACATTTCCTATTATGCTCCTTACCTGTAACTTGTTCTGGATTTGAGCATATTGAGTGCTGTTCTATCATATCTCCATGTTGCAATGAATGTAGATGATTCATTTCACAGTTCAGGGTGTCAACTGCCCATGAAACTKGGTGGTATAAAATGTGAATGGATGACATAAAGGTGATGAATTTGTTCCTGGGGYACAAACACCAGAACTATTTATATTATACAAAAATTCAGATTATTTTTGGAACCTTACTTCTGGATTTTGGGTTTACCTGGTGGATGTGTATGCCTGGTTCTCACACTGAGAAGAACTAATGATTTAGTTCTAATGAACTGAAGATTTAGAACCAATGACTTTTCTTTGCCATTCCCCCTTCATTCAAAGGAAAAAAAAAAAAAAAAAACCAAAAAAACCCTGAAACCTCAAACAAGATCAGTTTTGGGTATTGCTCTCATAGGATTGAAGTCTGTTTCAAAAAAATCATAATCTTTCTTACCCTTCTGTTCCTGGTTTTCTCACAGAATTTTTCATAAATATGAAGTGCACAATTAAGGTTTTGAATTAGTTGCTCAGTGGATAGTTTTGTTCTATTTATTTATATATTTATTCAAACTCTTTGGTGCAGTATCTRAACAGAGGGAAAACATCTGAGATAATGCTGATACTTCAAACATTAAATCTAGGTGCGTTCTCAAGATAGGTAACACCAGATTATACTTAAGCAGGGAAAAATCRTTTATAACTTGCATTTCTCTAGCTCTTGATATCACAATTACTGCATTGTACTGCGAGAGATTTGATAATCCCTTCTTCTGTTCATGGCAGCTGCAGATAAGTTCATCTCTGGGGCAAAATTCTTCTCTCCCCCTCCCATGTCCCTGACTTCTCTATAGTGGAAGCTCTATAACACATGTACCATTTGCCAAAAGAAATGTGGGGCAATTGAGAGGTTTGCTTAGAGGAACAGACTGGAGAGGAAAAAAAAATAAAACAAAAAATCCAGCCTTTTGTTTGCCTAGTTCCAGAGCCTAGTTTGAAATTGATATGTATTTTTTCACCAGGGGAGGAACTTGGAGAGCCCCTGGCTGCCCCGTTGCAAAGAGATAGTGATACTGCTGCAGTTAGCTGCAGGATGAGCAGATGTATTTCTGTGTTCATTTTGATATTTTGGTAARATGACCTTCCTTCCCTGTGAAGACTTCTGCAGTTGACTCTTAGAAATTGTTCCAAAATAGTGGCAGTGGCTATGGACATCCTGGAAGGGTCAAAGAAGAGCCAGATAATAAGTGGATTTTTTTAACGAGAATTTTTCTGAAAGTTAAAAGCAGTAGAGATGGTTGACCTGAGTAACATATAAAATTTTGTGATAAATTTGGGCTTTCTTAGGTGAAGGCTTCTGTGTAAATGTACAGATATTATTCTATAACATCTGTAAGCATACAGCAGACTAAACTGTATTTTTATTCATCTGCTTTGTTTTTAGTAGCCATACTCATGTCATATTGAGCAGTAATGAGAATCTGGAATAGCATTTTTAGCAGAGAGGACAAGGCTGACTGAGCTGAGTATCCTGAGAGACCTCCTAAAGTTGGTGTGAGGAACAGCATGGCCATTGCCATGTGCTGAACTGCCATGACTGGAACCTGCTGTGAAGCTAGGGAGCTTTGGGCTCTGGTGTTGTCTGCCAAGTGCTAGGAGTAATAATTCATGGTGAATAACTGGCTCTCCCTCCCTTGGTTTCACAGAAGGCAGTGATCTAAGTAATTTTCTGGGACTGTGCATTTTCCTGATGTGATTGTGCAGAGATGCTCTTTTAATATGATGAATTCAAGTCAAACATTAAACCTTAATCATATTTGGAAGTTTGGTGAAACTGGCAGTTTCTTTACTGAACCATACACTGCTTTCCTGCTAAATGCCACTGAGGGACTGGCCGAGTGTCTGAGCCTTGTGCAAGTGGGTGCAGGCTGCTTTTCAGTAAGTCTCTTGCCCCATGGAAAGAGAATGAGCAAGGTCTTTGCTCCAGGAAACAGCTGCATGGTATTACAGTGATGCATACCACATATTCCTCAGCTTCCAAATGCTTGTGCACCAAATCTATTCCAACACATGGCTGAGATGTATGATTTCTAGTAGAGAATTTCTCAACTGCCTTTTTTCATGCTGTTTTTAAATAAATGCTGTTTTTACATATGTGTTTAAAACATACCTCAGTTAAACGCCAGCTATTCATTCATCTCTTCAGATGTGTTTTGCAAGGACTATCTGACTTTTTCCAGTATAGTTCTATCTAGCAAAACAAGAAAGAAAATATTTCCTGTGAGAGTTGATTAAATACTATGGTGATTATGTTAATAATGGGCTCTCCCCCCAAAATATTTTATACATAGGTATTAGGTTCGTGCCTATGTATAAGTGCACCTATATTATTTGTGCTAGGTATATAAARACCAACATGCTTGTTTTGCGGATTTCCAAATGAATGGTTCTTGCAGAAATATTTCTTTGCAGAAATCGTCCTTCTAGGGATGGATTCATTGAGGCAATACCTAAATTTTGAATCATTCCTCAATGCGCCCTTACCCAGCTTCTTCCAGTGCAGGAGTCTGTGACTCTTGGTCATCTTTTGGGGAGGGGATATGAGGACAAAACTGAATGTGTCCCAACCCAAACCTCTGTTAACGTACTAGGATCTGCCAGGCTGCATAATTAGTATTGTCATCTTCTGGGTGGATGACCTCTAATAGCAAAGGCAACACATAGATATGTGCAGTGAGAAAATATGGGATAAACTTGCTTTAAAAAATTAAATAGAAAAACAACATCAGAGAGATGCAAAGGGAAATAGGCTTAGCCCTGGGTTACTTTTCCTGTGCTTGTATGTGTGCAGAAATCTTCTGAGTTGTTTGAACACCGTGTTAATATTTGTGTATCCCGAGTCTTGAGTAGTATATTTGGGACCTGGTACCCTAGAAACGATTGGCAAGCTAACCTTTAAGTATAGATGTAACTTATACCAACAAGTCAGCTCTGATGTCAGTAGAGCTTATAGCAGTTCACCAAAAGAAATAAACTGTATCAGAAATGGAAGTTTTTCTTTCTTTGGAGAAGTGCTGACTTTKAAGTGGAAGAAAGGTGGTGGAACAATAAACCAGGTTACCAAGATGCTGCTAACAACATTGCCCCGAATGGATATAAGTAGAGCAGAGGCAGAGACTTAGATGTGACRTAAATTGAGAATGATATGAGTCTGGGTCAGAACATATTCTCCCTGGATGGTTAACTTACTGCTAGTTGGATCTAATTTATCAAAATAGTGTATCTGGTTTGTGATCTGCTCCCTGCTATCCCCTTTCTGTGAATCCCATATTCCCTTGTCAAGCAACCAAATGCATATCCCTTGTTTGAGTAAAATGGTATCCTGTTTAGTATGACTGGATGTGTGTGTGGAATGTGATAGGAGGTGCAAGTGTTTTGGTCAAGTTGGCTCTACTGCTTTAGGTAAAAATGTCAGAAATGTGCAGGAAACTCAAAAGAGACTAGAAGATGTGTACAGGTCACACTTGTGCCTGAGTCCTTAGGAGAGTAAGGTGCAAAACTTTACATCCTGAACTAAGATTGTTTTCTTTTTTTTCTGGATTTATAGTGCACATGGCTGTTAAATTTCTATTTTTCTCTATCATTATTATTATCATCACCTATTTTTTCCTGAAGTTGCTTCTTATTGAGGTAGCCTAGGGATAGACTTTTGCCTGACAGCTTAAGGTCATCAAAATACCAGCTATACCTTTTCCTGATGGGACAGATAACTTTTAAATAAAATGTTGTGTGGAGTGTTTTTGGTCTTGTGTGTTGTCCATGTAGCCACGCAGCTCAGAACTTGTTTGTTTGTTTAATGATTCTCATTCTAATTTGGTTAGGGCTATTCTTAATGAATGGAAAATAAAATATCAGAACAGAGCAGAGGGTAAAGATCTGATGACAACATTGCAGACTCGTGTTACGTTCTGTTAATAGTAGACATATAGGAGCTGTCTTGGTAAGTAGAAATATGGGTGAAATGGCTGCTAGTTTATAAAGGAATTCAGCAAAATAACCCAGACCTGACCCACTGTGACATAAAAGGCTGTTTTTTTGTTAAAATTAGATAGAAGTAGAATTAACCTTGTTTATATTGCTGAATACACTTTCAGAATCCCTAAAACTTGCATAGCTAAAATTTGATCTACAAAGTTTCAGGTGTAGCTGAAAGAATAAAATAATAAAGAAGACCCAGAATAAAAGATGCAGGTAGTTGTTAGGCATGTGGCTTGTATTTTGACATTGTTCTAATTGYCTGGGTCTCAGAAAGTTAGTGTAAATGAGCTGTTGAACTTGTCTGTATTTTGATGCTGTAGTATATACTCACCTGACGCTATTCTTATTTCTTTTCTCTGTAGAACTTTTTGATTTCTCTTCATGACTTGCAATTAACTCTTTGGATCAGCATATTTATAATTAACTTAAGCTAAATACATTTCTTGTGCAGTAAAAAAAAMCCCATTTTTTAATGTTGTGCTTTCTTGCAGGGGCTGGTGTTTTTTTCCTTTCCTGTGCTGAAGGAGAGCAGATCAGCTTTCTGTTCGACTGCATTGTCCGTGGCATCTCCCCGACGAAAGGCCCTTTTGGTCTACGGCCAGTCCTACCAGGTTAATATAGGAAGTATAGAGTAACCACATAAAGCAGCAACTTGCCAYGTCTAGCACTTACTGCTCTGACTGTCATAAGTTTGCAGGCACCAAGGGCATAGAAAGTACAAAGTGTTTCTCATTCTGAAATGTCACAGTATAAATTTACCCCTCGAATGTACCCAGTTTCTGCTGTTGCTCTGGCTTGTTCATTTGTTCTGATGATAGTGCTAAGATGATTAGGCTTAGCTAATGCTAAACCTAGCTTTCTCTTATTTAACAATGCTAAAATAAAATAATTTGAATTGGATGAACTGTAACAGTCTTAAACTTAAGTCAATTTGGATCCATGTCTGCATTATTATTTTGATAGCGTAATGAGCTGAGACCAGGAAAACTAACTTCTGGGGCATTTTGAGTTCATCCCAAAGTCCTGTCAACCCTAGAGAACTCTTGTCAGGGCTCTGGATCACATTACAGTTCTGCAGCTTGAGCTTTTCTTTTTGGTGTATGAGAATTACATTCCTTTTCCGATTTCATTTCTATTCCTATTTTGAATGCACTGCAATGTTGAGAAAGCAAATGAGATGGAATCATAGAAAGCCCTTTTGCTTTTTGACTTTGGCAAAGGAAGAAATACTGAAATATTGAGTTGGAGGGACTGTGCCAAATAGGACAAGAGTGTGAATAAAGAGACTGCAGAAAAATATCTGTGAAGTGGCTGTCTGAAGGGAATAGGCTGTAACAATGGTGAGGGATGAGACAGGATTTGTAGAAAATGTTAAGGGTTTGTCTTTGAGTTTTAGGCAAATGGTAAGGATTTGACAGAGCTTTATTGCTCTAACAAGCCTGAAGACAATCATTTGTGGGAAGGAAATGTGAAGGAAAAGATTAGGGTGTAAAATTTGTGGAAATGAATTCAAATTAGTTAAATTAAGGCAAATGCAGTACATACCAGGCTCAGTTTCTTTTCTTTCCCATAGTTGTAATGTCAAAGTGAATAAAATAACTACAATACACAATAGGCAATTCTGAGGTGTGTGCTCCCATTGAACTATCTAGAGTGTTTGAAAAAGAGAAAAAAATCAGTGCTGACACTTTGAGACTTAACTTTGYCCTGAAGGCATATTTTTTACATTTCTAGAATTGGATTATGCATGTACAATCCCAAATCTTCCATTTAGCAAAAATGTGCATCTAGAAAATGCTCCAAAATTACTAATGTATATTCTGTTATCTTTGTGGAATAATTACTTGTGTGTTTTTGTTGTTGTTGTTGTTTTCCTTATGTCATTCTCTCAGACATCTCTTTTTTGTTTTTTTTTTTTTTTTTTTTTAGGAACGTTTAGAAGTAAATCTGCTTTTTTATCTTACAGTGATCAGTTCAGCCCTTGTGTTTGTGTGTTATTCTATTATATCCACATGTATTCCCTTCCTTCCTTCAAGATGTCTGACTCTGAGTGCGTGAAGCAGATGGGGGAATATCCAGGGAGTTAATGGGTGGTTGGTAGTGAGGGAAGTCCCATTTTCTCGATTTTCTTGGGTCTGTTGTCTTTATTTCATCTGCCTCACAGACCTACCACTAAAATGAGATGAAGATCCACTTAGCCACTGCATATTGTTTTGTTTCCATGGACAGGAGCAGTGGCCTCCATTCCGTGTTCAGTAGAAATGTGCTGTGGTTTTGAAGGCTGTTTGTGTCTCTACCTTTGTGCCTCCCAGTCCTGGGAGCCCTTCTATACATGCCCCTTCATACAATCCTTATTTTTTAGATTTTTCCCAGTTGTTCATTTATTGTCCCATTCAGGGGAGTCTGTACAAGACATGCACCTAGACATGTTCAGTGCTGGTGATTCATCCATAGACTAATTTTCAGTATTAACTGTGCCATGACATGGAGTGGACTGTATTGCTCAAAGATCAAGTCTCTCCCTGCCGCATCTGGCAAGAGTACTGAAATTCACCCCATCTCCTGGAAGTCATGTATTAAATAGGCTGATTGTTTGTGCACCTTAGCTAACTAGGCCAAAACTTCCATGTTGGGGCTTCTACCTAGAAACACACAGTCAATGTTACTGGTATTTACTGCAGTGTAAAGTCCTACACAATCTTTAACTGTGCTTTATGTGTGCAGTGCTGTGGTTTTATGTAATTTAATTTCAAATTTAATCCTTTCATAGGAAACAGTTTGCTTTCTACAATTTGGCTTTTGTAGAAAGGCAACAACTTAAAATGCATTTGAATAACTCTTAAGCATTTTCAAGAAAGGAAAGCATGAAAAGGTCATTTTTAAAGAGAAAAGAATGTAATGTGAGAATAGGTTAGATTGACAGTGTTGTTGGACACCAATACTCTYGGAACAAATATAACTAGCAAAGTAATGTAGTTAATGCTTGCTTAGCTCGTCTTTGGAAAAATGTTAATAAATTAAGCTTCCTTATGTACAAACAGCTCACTTTATGCTAAATGGACCACAGAAATATTTAAGTATCAGCATGAAATYTGTAGGAAGTGATAGAGACAGAACTGAGGAGAAGGACTGGAAAATGAAAAGTTTTTTACTTGCCATAGTGCCACTTCAAACAAGTGTAAAATGCTCAGTGTCCAAAGGATCTTGTAAAGTGCATGTGCGAGGGAAACTTGCTGAAGCACAATATAGCCACCTGCACTTCAGGAAGATAGTTTAGAAAAATATAACTTATTTCTTTGGAAGCTTGCTGTTCTTTTAATGTAAATATTTTTGTTCATTTCCTGCATTTGATTGTGTTGTCTGTAAAATATATAGCGAAAATAATGAAAAGTGGAACTTTTATAGCGACTGGCCTTTGCAAAATACCGAAATCTGCTCTGATCTCACAGCCGATTTTGTTTTGAGCAGGAGGTCAGACCAAGGACCCCTTGAGGTCTCTTCCAGCCTGATTTTTTTTTTTTTGTGATTCTGTGGAAGATGCCATCATATAGATGCGAATATTCTCTCAAAATAATCCTTTATGCRTACATCCAAAATGAAATGTAAAAGGAACAGAAGGTTAGAAGGCTGTTACAGTTTACCACTGTGTGGTGCTTAATTTTTGGAACTCTGTAATGATGCAGAACTCTACCAAAATGCTCTTTTTGATAACACCATTGGCAAATTGGAAACTTTGATTTGTTAAAGGCTGCACAGTTGGGTCTTAAATTTGAGGCAGATGACGCTGAGTGGGAATGCATAGGTAATGCAGATACCTGTAAACATTTTGAGGCAATCTAGTATTTTAGTTGATGACTTTAAGTGGCAGGAGGTCATTGAATGGGTTGTTTTTCCCAGCTGCTAGTTCAAAAACAGTTGCCATAATTGGCTACTTTTATGGATTTTATTTTTTTCTRCTTTCCCCTTGGAGGAAGTATTTAGAAAGTAGACCATAGACCACAGAATTTGATGTTATTATCTTGATAGAAGTCTAGATATTGACAGAGTAATAAGTCACTGATTGCCTGATTTGTAACCCATAGTGAAYTTGCATGCATATTATTTGAGAGTTGTTTTTCTCGGGTGTGTATTACATTCTTTCTGTTCRCTTGTAAGCTTCCTCTTGGGTTCCAAACACAAAAGGGATGAAGGCCTCGCAGCCCATCAGTGACACCTTTTGTTGCGTGGGCATCAGCCAGCCTGGCTGAGGCTAAAGGGCAGCCTGGTCCTGCAAGCTGGAGAGACCCCAGGTGTAATGCTGATAGTCTTGATGTTCTCTCTTAATCTTGGAAGCTTTTCTAAGCTGCTCTGTGAGTGACTGGAGAGTCTGCAGTGCTGTTTGCTGAGGATCTCTCTGATCTTCTTGTTGAGGCTTGATGCACGGTCATTGCAAGGCAGCTCTGTGGCTGCCTTCTGCAGTAGCTGTACCAAGTGGGTCCTGCTCATGTTTTTACATCTTGTTATTCCTCCAGATGTGCTACAGGGTGTGGAGGTGCTGGCATGAAGGTGAGAGTCTAGGTCTGATTTGTGAATGTTACAGTCTGCAGTTACAAAGGAGGAAAGGACAGATGTTCAGCTGAACTTATTTAACTTTATTTAACAGTTTTAAGAGTTAATTATTTAAGATTGATTAACTGATGCTGCATTTTAAAGATGTGTATAATTTGAGATTATCTTAGGTAGCTGTTGATTTAACTTGATATGATACATTCTTGTTGACAGATGCTTGCCAAACAACCCTGGAGCTTTGCATCACTGTGAAACTTTATTTGTATATTGCCAAAGGATTCAGGATCTCCCACGATGAGCAGCTGATGTGGCTCTAATGAATATCCACCAACGTAATATAAAAATAAAATCTCCATCAGAGACATTTTTAGACCAGCGAAATTTCATGTAATCCTTCAGCTTTGCCCCAAAGCAAAGTTTAAGGAGATTGCAGTGACGTCCTTGCACAGAAGAACTTCCTTCATAGCATGGGAACTATTTCTGTTTTGGAAAATAAAGCACTTCGCGTTGAAGGGCTTGAGTGAATTTGATAGGGACTAAATCACATCACAGGGTGGTAGATGTGTGTGGGGTCTGGGAAGTGAAGGCACCAGTTGCATTGAGAGTTGCAGGAGCCACTGTAGGATGTTGCGTGGGCAGGAGTCGTCCCCATCTCCTTGGACAACTCTCAGGGCTGGTCATGATGCTCTTGTCCTGCTGAGTTAGTGGTATGGTAGATCACTGCATATTTGGTTAGACACTTGGCACTGTGCACGTACAAAGTGTCCAGTGGTGCCAACAAAGCCATCCTCACCGACAAAAACATCATGGGTTTTATTAAGCCTTAGTTCTAGTCTTGTATGATGGGAGGTTATAGGGTCTGTTCTCCAGGAAGGGCTGTTCTCCAACAAATTTAAGCCAGTGTCTTGAGTCTGGTTTTCTAGCAGAACGTCCTGATTAGCACKGGATAATCTATATCTGAGAACACAGGAATAAGGATTTACTGCTTCTGTGAGAATGATATTGTTCAGGCTTTCCAAAGAAGCCGTGATTTTTAGGAGGGAAGATTAAATGACAAATAGCATTATTCCTTAAAAGTTTTAGGGCGAAACAAAGATTGCAATAAGACCGATGAGTGATTATTGTTAGTGTCTGCCTAAGACTTCTAAGCATACGGCAGGCTTTGAAGTTACTTCTTCAAGCATCTCCTAGTGTTCGCTGAGGAGTTTTCTAGTCTCAGCTTTCCCTGCCACTGGGCAAGTGACTAAACCCCTGGGCAGTGTGGCACGAAAGGAAGATGGGCCTCCTATCACAGAAGGAGATGTTCAGCAAAACACCTGCTAAGCATATGGAACACGGGTTATGTCTGGAGATTCCCTGTTGGTGGGTGAAATGTGGTGTGTCCCATAGCTGATAGGATTGTTGGCTAGCAGTAGCGATGGCGTKTGTGTAATGCAGAACTTCTTCATTTGCTTCCTGTTCTCCTGCTTCTTCACCCCGTCCTGTATTTTGTTACAGGCCAATTTTGCAGGATCACTTGCTTGACGAGATTTGATTATTTATTTGTTAATATATTGTTTTACATTCGCAAGAGGGATCAGTTACTAAAAAAACTAATAGTTGTGTATGTCTAGTAATATAAAATCTGTATTCAATTGTATATCAAAGGAAAGAGAAGGATCTTGGTTTGCATCTTGGTTGACTTATTGCTTGATCTGTTTGCCAGCTTTATGCCTAGAGTGTTCTGGAAACGTCTTTGTTGCAACTTTGTGGATTTCAGGGCATTTAACTGGATACAGTAGAGGTAACTAGAGCAGAGGACATTCTAAAATAGATTCAAGCAGCAGCCTCTAACGTCATATGCCACTGGGCAGATAGTTGCTTGGACCTGCCTGCGTTGCACTGTAGGAGCTGGTGGCCAAATCCAGTCTCTTCCTCTGGCAAAAACCCAAATGGAAGGGATGAGGGGTGTGATTGAGTAAGCGCCTACGCAGGTCGCAGCTAGTCAGTGCTTAGTGTAGTTGTATTGCAAGGGAAGTAGGGGCTTGATGTGGAGACAATCCCGATCAGATAATCTCCTCTCTTCTGGTTTGCAAGTTAGGTTTGGAGGTTGCCAGGCCTTGGCATCAGGCAAGGTCACTATTTGAGCTGGAAAGCGCAGAGGAAGCAGATGTTGTTTGTCACGGGCTGTGGTGGRCAAAGGTAGGAATAATGTAGGAATTCTTCTGGAGCTCCAGTTGAGGCGACAAAGCTGCTCCCCTGCCTCAGCTTGCTTTGACTGTTGGGTGGAGCCTCACTAGCTAACATCACCAAACTCAAGTCTTTTAAAATTAAAAGACATCAGTTGAAAACTTTTTTCATTATTTCAGCCAGTTGTTATTGCTATTTTACTGACTTAGCCATAGCAATGTGTGTTATTATTATTATTATTATTATTATTATTATTATTATTAACACTTATTAGATGATTTGGTGATTAAATGATTTCTGTAGTGTACTCTTACTACTAGGTTGGTCAGATGCACAAGAGTCGCAGTTGTGAGGAAGCTAATCTGGGTTTTATCTGTTATTAGTTCCTTTCTGTATATAATGGTATAGGTTGCTAAAAACTTTTGATAATGAACGAGTTGGCAAACCGTTTGGACTGCTGAACACAGCACTCTCATCAGTGCTGTCTGCAGTAATCTGTAGGGTTCCTTTTGGAGTGTTGGTGGTGATTTCTTTCAACATCTGATCTTTATTGTTGTGCCTGTTGGAAACAAAATGGTGTAGAGGAAATTGACCTGTCTTCTGTGGAAAGGTCTTCCATGGTCTGTAAAACTTCTGGTCTTTCTCTTCAGCGTAAACTGGAAGGAGCTTTTTTAGGGGGAAGTAATTTTAGCTGGAATGGCAAAACCACAAAATGTATTGGAGGGAAAAATCTATATAATACATTTTTTAAAAATAATTCTAATTTTAATCATAAATGTGAAGGTAGAGACTCACGAGGGGGTTTATTTCCTCTCTAACTCCTGAAACTAGTCAAACCTTAAAGTGGAGTCTGTAAATAGATGATCTGTATCAGTTATGAGGATGTCAAATAGTTGCTCTTGTGAATAATGTTTTACTGTGTAGTTTTCTAMTATGTAGGAGGTGCTTGATCTTGAATGAAATTTCCAGCAAGATCAGTGARGTCAGAACTCTTTCTACAGGTCAGAGTTGTTGCCTTTTATTACTCTAGACCTTCTAGATGCTCATTCCCCTTGTATCTCTCTCCTAGAGTGCTGTGATGGTCAGGGGTTCGTCTCTGAAAGGACTCATACAGTCTTTGGTTATGAGCTCTAAAATCTGTGACACTTGGAATTTTGTAGCATGAGGCAAGGTTAGTGTTTGAGTGAAACATCCCYAGTGTTTCTGGGATGTGCTGTAAGGCAGGTTGTCCTGTATCAAGATTTTCTGATCAAGATTTYCCCTTTTCTGTAATAGAAGCCCCAACATAAGAATAAACAGGGGGGAGTACATCTCTCTTTTTCCTCTGATTTTTTTTTTTTCTGTATATCTTTATTTTTTTTATTTTCTATTCCTTTTTAAAGATCCAAGTACAAATCCAGCCTATTCGGAAGAGAGATTGGCTCATGAAGCTTTGCAGTTAGAGAAGCGCTTGAGCCTGCTGTCCCATACCAGTCGCCAGGGCAGTGGAGGTAAGAAATACCTTTAAATAAAGAGACAAATAGTCTTCCAATCCAGTGAGTTTCATGTGAAACATCGTTAATACAGAAAAATCCTGTAGTACATTAAATGTTTGTGCAACATCAAAAGAGTTATGCCCATCAAGTTGGATACCTTATTAGGTAATTTATCTCACAAATTGGAGTGAGTCAACTGACTTCTAGTTTGCACAGCAGGCTTATGAAGTCTGCCTCATAAGTATGAGGAAGGTTTTGAAATCATACCCAGGACTCCTGTGCTTTGATTCTGTTTGTTATTATGTTCTATCTGTACATGTCCCTTTTTACATATGAAAGTATAGTTGGTGCCTAGCTCTAATTTGGAGAAGGATCTGGACTGCCGTTTAATCATGTAAGAACAATTCTAGTTCCCTAGAACTTTTGCTTTGCTCTCAAATTTAAAGTCTACAACCCTAAAAAAAAAAAAGGCAAGTGAATATCCTCAAAAGTCTAGTATGTGCTTCTTTACATGTCCATGACTACTTTAGTCTTGATGCTGCTGGGTAATGTGGCTTTGCTGAAATTCCACTGAGATTTGCTGAGGTTTAATTCTTGCTTAGTTTAATATAGCTACTGATTTGATGCAAAACAAATAAGATGTGATAGAGACCTGACTATCTTATCCAGGGACTTAGTGGTCAGAGAACATGTGGTCCAGGTTCACATGCATCCTTTGCTTGAGTTCTCTTTACCTCCCTGTTATTCTAAGAATGTCTGAAGCCCTTGAAGAGTGAGGAACCCTTGAGGTAGGTTTTTTCATAATCCATTATTTGAATTTTGCACAGGAAAATATTTTGGGGAAATACTACAATAGAAAGAGCATTGCTCTTAGTGTCCCTCCYTGTTCCACTATCTGTAGGTTTGCTGGGAGTGCATTTGCCTGGATGTGGAAATGCAGGGTCTGCMACTGCTTTGGAGAATGGTTAGAGCTCTGCCTAGTTAGAACATGTTCTACAGGATTGAGAGGGCTTCTCTTCCAAAGCCCTCATAYGTAAAACAGTTGATTAGGAGAAGTGATTTCAAATAATTTTTTTCAATTAAAAAAATATACAGTTTTTATTATTTATAACATTTATTTCCCAAATATATTCCTTTAGATGCTGAACATATTGCTGAGAAATAAACTAATGCTCCTGTATTTCATGCCTTCTGCCTAGATGGATGTTYAATACTTGCATGAGAGTCACAACCCAAAGTCATGTAAAGGGCACAGCAAGGACAGGAACGGAAATTTCACAGGGTGAGGGTTGCTGTTCTGTGGTTCTGTATATCTGGAATTACTCCACAGAGAGCAGGAGAATCACTTTAAATATTTGCCACAGTAACYGAGAATAGAAATGGTTTTGTAATACCAGAAGTTCAGGTCACGCAAATAAATGTGACTTAGAGTAGATCTTTTCTGCCTCATCTGGCAATTTATTGCTAGTGTTTAAAAATAATATCTACAAAATGACTKCTGTCAGCCTGTGTTTTCACACTCATTTTTATTAGGGAGGAAAATAACTTATGCCTTGCATATCTGCAGTCACTTGCCTGTAAAAATGTCCTGCTTTCAAGTGTCAGTGAGAAGGAAATACTTCTTGTAGTATGGGCATAAGTGGATCTTGAGAGGTGTTTTTCCATATGGGTGTGGAAATGTTGTTATCATAGTACATTTCTCATTTCTGCTTGTTCCAGTGATGTGTGATTCTGCTTTTGGTACGGATATTATAAGGATGTTACAGTGTAGTGTACATTACAGAACAAGGCAATGTAAATTGGATTTTATTTTTACTGTCTCTTTATTATTCACTTTGATACTATTCAGGTAAGATTTAAATAGATTAAAAAAAAAGTTAAAGCAAGAGTGATTCAAGTAGAAAATATTGAAATCTCTTGCAAATCTTTGGGGTATAGATAATGGAAACTTTTCTTCAGAATATCCTCAGATATTCCAAGAACATGCAACTCTGTGACTGTTCCCTGTGGTATGAGGTAGGAGTATCAACATTAAAGCCAGCTAACCGTACATGAGTAAATGTGCTTCAACAGGGGAGAATTGGCTGCATAAAGTCTATAAAGATTTAGCCCTGAATGCAACATGCTCCACAGTGTGATAGGATTAGTAAGGTAATATACCATTTGCATTTTATTTTTCCCTTGGGGATAGGAATCGACGGGAACTGTTGCAGTCATTCTGGCTTTCTGACAGAAGTTCCTGTCACAGAGCAGATGAAGTCTCCTGATCCTTTCTGCTCATATATTCTTGCCATGCCACTGGCCTGCCCACAGTTTTAAACATAGCTTGATCTGTCCCTTTTTCTTTTTCTCTAGGAGATGATAGAAGTATTTCAAGCTCATCTTCAGATACCAGCCACTCGGATGTTAGTGTTGGGAGCAGACTGACCATTTGGCCTGAACAGTCTTCAGCCAGCACTTCTCAAGAGAGTCACGGACTGGCAGCTGCAAAGGGCATCCATCTGGGGGAAGAAAAGACCCACCCAGAAGGGGCACGTGGCCCCTCTAAACCTCCTCCAAAGCCTCTCCGATCCAGACAGCTGCAGGAAATTGGACGTCAGAGTTCTTCGGACAGTGGAATAGCTACTGGTAGTCACTCTTCTTACTCTGGAAGTTTCTCTTCCTATGCTGGGAGCTTGGACATTTGCCACGGTGAGGAGTTTGGGTCGTTGCTAAGCCTGCCATTGAACTTTCCTTCAGATCAGAATTTATGTACTTGTCCTCACAGTGAGCCCCAGAGAGGAGCGGCCTCAGAGTATCAGGTTCCCAGCTCTCTCAGACATATTTATGATATCCCCAGGAGTTTGTTACAGGCAGCTGCCAAAGATGCGCAGCCGAAGAGCGCCGATTCCACGCAACCCAAGGACCAGCCCCTGGCACCTCAAGGCATTAGTGACCCCAAACTGCTGCTGCCGCYCGCGGAAGTGCGAAGGGCACCTGAGCACAGCCAGGACAGAGGGAGGCCTTCATCCTTGCTCTCTCAAAGCTCCAAGGACTCCAGTGATGAGACATATGTGGATTTTGTTACGAGGTGGTCAGACACAAAGCCCCAAGGACAGGTGCCCGACTCGAAAAGTAGTGAGTTGGCACCACCTAGTGGAGTCTCAGCTGACCCCTATGACATATGTAGCCCCCACCCTGGGATGACAAGAGCTCTTTTTTCAGCTTGTCCAGTCTGTGGTGGACTAAAGGTAAATACCTATCAGTGAGCAGATGCTAACAAAGCCTTCCTTAATTTAACACCATTAATTTAAAAATTGCCTAAGTTACAAGTCACAAATGTTATTATTGTCTTTATACTYTTAACACGTAATAACTTTTGTGGTTGTTATGAGAGATTTGGTGTATGGTTACCTCAAAATTTGTGCGTGGTCAAGGAAGCACTGAACAATACAAGCTGTCAGTCATTACTTCTGAATTGGCCAGCTTTGATTTTGGGTGCATGTAAGTGACTTGCAGAGACAACGATAGAAGCTTATGGCACATAAGGTGTATAGGATTTCTCCTATAGTCATAACCCAGCACAAAGGACTTTGCTCTGTCTTGCTGCTGGTGGTTCAGGAGAAAACAAAGGCAGGTCAAGCAGTATGTGCTGCTGCCCGGGGTGCCTGCTCAGCATATTTTTATTTTCTTCATGTTTCCCTTTCCCTCACCGTGTTGGTGAGCATGTCTCATRCAAGATGCAGTCAGATCTATGAAGCTCCTCACTGGGGAGAGAAGACAGTCTAATTAACATGGCCATCCATAACAGGTCACCTAGTCTGGTGTCATATTTATGTTTGCTGCCCAGAGCTAGATGCTTTAAAGGAGATGGACAGAAACTCATCACTGGTCCAGTAGCTGGAGTACCTCTTCCCAGGGAAAGTTATTTTTGTTCACCACTTGCAGAAGGGCTTAAATGCTGAAGCATGGAGACTCGTATGCTTTTTCTAAACACATTTGTTTTTTAGTTTCTGTTAGTATGGCTTGGATATTCCTATAAATTCTTTGTGAGTGCTGCTAAATTCTTGGCTTTTTATGGCAGTAAGCTTTCTAAATTAATTGTGTGCTGTGTGGAGAAATTATTTGTGTTTCCATTTTTTCTGGGGAAGACTTTTTTGGTTAATGCTTTTCCTAACGTGGAACAAGATAGAGCTGCCTATGCATTAGGGTCTTCGAAGGCTGGGAGGATTAGAGAGCATGTTCAAACTAGGGAACCTGTGAAGTAGGGATTCAACAGAGAGGTTTGAGGAATTACGTACATGCCATTCAAGTGTGTATGTTTTAAATGAGCATGTGGGATCCCATAAATCAGTTCTGTGACAAGGACTTAAGTTTACAATGTTAGAGRAACTAAAAGAATATAAGCCGGGGGGAGGGGGGGCTGTTCTGAAGCTTTTCATGTGTTTGTATCACTGTCTGTCTGTCTTCACATGCCTGAGCATCACAGGGGATGCTCTGTGTCTGGGGTACCTCTGTGGCCTCAGTCGCCGGAGTGTGTGAGCACCTCAGGTGTTGCTGTGTGTCACCCACTGACACTGCAGCGTTTGGAGCCAGGGAGATGTTGGTGGTTGTGTCTACACTGGTGATTTGGGTCAGGTATTTTCGAGGCCATCCTTGCCAACCATCACAGGCTCTCCTCAACCCTGCTGCTTTTGGAAAGCTCTGGTGGACCTGAGGGCCTGTGATGCAGCCTCCTGGTTGTGCCCGATGTCTCTGGCCTGTGGTTAAGCCTTCAGCAGGCAAGGAGGGACAGGACTGGCTCCTAGAACAGCTCTAACCTGAGCCCAGGAAGCTCCCAGACCAATGTGTTGTGAGCAGCAGGGACAGAATTAGTTGTGATGGGGACAGCTCGCGTGGTCTGAGTGTTCGTGGCTGATCCGACCCGTCAGCTTAGACAGACTTTCAGCAATTTATTGAAGCCATGGAGTGGCAGACAGACACTTGAAACGAGTATCCTGCATCTTCCACACCAGTAGGGCTCAATTCCACCACCTTAGCTATCTGTTTGTTCCACCAACGTCCCAAGTCTCATTTTCATAAGTGCCATCAGGTTTTGGAGTGATTCTGGGTGCCCGAGTAATACCAGTGGGCAAGAATCTCAGGAATGATCAGAGTTTTCTTGGTGGCAGACCGACAGTGGTGCAGCAGGCTTTGTTTCAGCACGTGATATGTTGTTTGCTTCCTTTTTTTCCTACCTACTTGAAAGTATTCTGAAAAGAAGTCTTACTGACTGATTCATGTATTTACTTCTATTTTTGAAAGAAAAATAACCTTTTGATACGTGTTCCTGAATGGTCTAAATTAATTATTTTAGAAGCATTTAATGAAGATTGTCTTTTTTTCTTGTAATGGATACAATGAATGCACAAGTCTGTATGCTATAAGTGAAAAATAATTATTATTCCTCATTCTCTGAAAAAATATGTTTGAAAACCAGTTTGAAGCAGATCAGGGCTACAATTACTTTTCACATTTATTCAGATTACTACTCAGAAGGCTTTGTGCTGCTGTTTGGAGTATCTGTGTGTTTTCAAGTTATGCCATTGATTAAATTTTGCTTAAAATTGTGTTTTTATTTATTTAAAGAAATACTATTTATAATGAGTGTGTGACCTGGGTAAARCAAAGTCAGGAGCGGTAATTAAGCACCTAGGTATCTCTCTGCTGTCTGCTCTTTGGAAAATCCAGGTGCGATGAGGGTGTCGGAGCTCAGATGGGAAGCGCTGGGATGGGCTGCGGGATGGAGCGCTGCGCGTGGGGAAGGGTGGGATGGGCTCTGCAACACAGTGCAGGGAGAAGGTCCCCTGGGCAAGTGCCAGGGTTCAGACAGGACACGGCGCAAGGGATTTGTGCTTCACTCTGGAGCAAGCAGGGCAGTAGCGTGATTAAAACCACCTACTGCTGCTTCTGTTGCTTTTGTGTCATTTTTGGTATTGGACCTTAGGAATCGCGTGCGGGTCGAYGCGTGTACGTCACTGTGATGTGCAGGGATGCCCTTTGCTGCCCCCTCGGCCTTTGCCCTCAAGTTTTGCTTAGKTGATTTTGGGGCTATAGATAAGTGCAGAGGCGAGTCCTTTGTTTAGGATAGGGACATTTTAAGCTCAGAAGGTTGGATTGCTGTGAGATTTTCAAGTAAGCTGTAGAGATTTACTAGTAGGCGCTATTTTTCAGTTTTCAAATGCCTAGCTGATAATAGTTTAAAAATCAACATTTCACTGTAYATAATATTGCTCTGTAAGTTTGTTTGATGCTACAGCTTGAGAAACATTGTCAACCTTTTCTACAGGGTGTCTCCTTTTTTTGAACTCCACCATTGTTTGTAAATTTTCTTAGAAGCCTGAAAATAAAATTCTTTTCCAACTGCTTTTGTCCCTTTCCATCTGCCAAGTACCRTTGGTTTTTTCATTTTGCTTTCTCTCCCCTGGCCCTCCCCTCCTTGTGTTTTGGATGAATGTGCAGTGGTTACAGCCATTTCTTCCTCTTCTCGTGCCACGTGCTCCAAGTGTCCCTGCTTGAGCAGGATGGGTTGGACCAGATCTTTAGAGGTCCCTTCCAACCTCAACCCTTCTGTGATTCTGTGATTCTCCATGGGGTGCTCACAGCAGCATTGACAACACAAATTGTGCCTATTGGGAGGAATTTTGGGTTTCTGGCTTGCCATAAACTCATGTTTGTGTTGGTGGGAGTTYTGATGTGCACAGGAACATAGCTTGATTACGGTTTTGATAGTAAACTTGCCATGACAGAGGAGGAGAAAAGAAAGCACCGATCTACTGTATGGCTCTGCTCTATGTGTCTGCTGTCATCAGATGAGGGTTGACGTTTAGCCATCCATTTTTGCTGGTCATCTGAACATGCTGGGAGACCTGGTAGCTGCCTAGGGAGAAGTGCATTCCAGACCGGATGGGGAGTTGCACCAGTTAACCGATAGGACACTTTTCTCAGTCTGTTCTGTGGAAACCGCTTTATTTTGCATTAAGAGGTAAAGTAGCGGAGCGAGGAGGATGTCCCTGTGTGTGCTGTGAGCCCCGAGCGGGCGCTGCGCCCGGTATATTCCATGTCCAGCCCCGTGTCCCTGCTGGGTTAATCCAGCGCAGCCTCCGGGGGTGCAGCGGCTCTTGTGGGGTACAGATGCTGCTGGGAGTGTCTGGGTTGTGCACTGCACACCAGGAAGAGCCGGGAGAGGAGCATGGGATGCAGAGGAGGGCTGGGACTCCAAAGAACCACTTGTGTGTGGCCTCTTTGGGTGTCTCGCCTAGGCTGATGTAACCAGGGTTATGAGAAACCTGTCAGAGGGCTAGAAAAGTGTGGGGTTCAGAGGACTGAGGTGGTKAGACCTTATGCAGAGGGAAAAGGGGCATAAACGAGGTCAGGCTCAGGGCATTTTTATTTTCATTTGTATTTTTTATGTTTWTTTTTTTATTATATTTGTTGTTTTTTCTTCACCAGGATACCAAGTCTTCCCCAGAGTTACTTCCATCCCCTTACTAAAGTGCTTTAAGGCCTACTCGTACGCTGTTTTAAATGGTGCTTGAGGTGGGGGAGGGATGATATATATTTTTTTTTCATTTGGTTTCTTGTCGTTATTTTCTACAATATTATAATGCTTCTTGGAAAAAGGCCGGAATAAGCAAGATGATCAGTTGCTATTTACTTTGCTGTTTAACGTTAGGCCTGATGACTGTGACTTGGCTCTTCCCCTGGTGCTTGCTAACTGGATAAGACATCAGCTTCCCAGTGAAATACAGGCACACACAGTGCCCGGTGCTGTGGGGGGCTGCCCCTCATTTCACCCAATAAAAASACAAATCTGAAAACAGCGTAAAATGAAGATACTGTCTGTCACTAGAGAATCCCCATAGCATTTGTGACGAGAGTAACAGTGCTCATGCAACATGCGCTGGGAGGGACTGCAGGCTAAGCAGGGCGGATGGCCGCCAGTCTGCAGGGGAAGGAAGTGCCCGTCCCAAGCACATCTGCTAAGTGCAATAATAATGATACTAGCAAGAGAAGGGCCCCTTTCACACGTGCCTGCAACGTAGCTGGTGCAGCTCGGCAGAGTTCATGCTTTTCTTCTAAATAGTTACGGTTGCTGGATTGTTTTTTTTCTGTCAGAGACAGTGAAGATGTTGATAAACCCCAGAACTGACCTTTTATACCCCTCAGCACCAACAAATGGGAAAATCTTCCGCCCTCAAATTCAATCAAG